ATGAAGTTGAACCCTTACATCACACCATATACAAAAATCAATTCTAAATGGACAAAAAGCCAAAACGTAAGAGGTAAAACCATAAAACTCTTACGAGAGGAAAGAAGAAATACAGATACAAGTCTTCGTGGCCTTATGTTAGCAATGGCTTCTTAGATATGCCACCAAAACCACATGTAACAAGAAAAATATGGATAAACTGGACTTAATAAAAATTAAAAACCTTCATGCTTTGAAGGACATCATTAACACACAGAATGGGAAAAAAAATATTTGCAAATAATATATCTGATAAGGGAGTTGTATCTAAAATAAAAGAACTCTTACAAATCAATAACAAGATATAACCCAATTTAAAAATGGACAAAGAACCTGAACAGATATACCTACAAAGAAGATATACAAATGTCCAGTAAGTAGATTGAAAGGTGCCAGCATCATAAGGTATCAGTGAAATGCCAATCAAAACACAATGAAATACCACTTCACACCCACAAGGATGACTATAATAAAAAAGACAGAAAATGCAAAGTGTTGGAAATGATGTGGAGAAATAAGAACCCTCATACACCGTTGGTAAGAATACAAAATGCATACCCACTGTGGAAAACAGTTTAGCAGTTCCTCGAAAGGTTAGAGTTACCATATGCCCTAGCAATTCCACTCCTAAGATATACACAAGAAAAGCAAAAAAAAATATGTTCACACACAAACTGGTCCAAATCAACCTTATTCATAATAGCCCCAAAATGAAAACAACCCAAACATCCATCAACTGACTAATGGACAAACAAACTATGATCTATCCATACAATGGAATATTATCATTATCCAGCAATAAAAAGTGAAGGACTGGCCTGGCGCAGTGGCTCACACCTGTAATCCCAGCACGTTGTGTTTTTTTGTTTGTTTTTGTTTTTTTGAGATGGAGTCTTGCTCTGTTGCCCAAGGTGGAGTGCAGTGGCACGATCTCAGCTCACTGCAGCCTCCGCCTCCCAGTTCAAGCAATTCTCCTGCCTCAGCCTCCTGAGTAGCTGGGACTAAAGACGTGTGCCACCACACCTGGCTAATTTTTGTATTTTTAGTAGAGATGGGGTTTCACCATGTTGGCCAGGATGGTCTTGATCTCCTGACCTTGTGATCTGCCTGCCTCAGCCTCCCAAAGTGCTGGGATTACAGGCGTAAGCCACCGCGCCCGGCCAATCCTAGCACTTTGGAAGGCCGAGGCAGGCAGATCATTTGAGCCTAGGAGTGTGAGATCAGCCTAGGCAACATGGCAAAACCCCATCTCTACAAGAAATAAAAAAATTAACTGGGTGTAGTGGTGCACACCTGTAGTCCTAGCTACTGGGGGACTGAGGTGGGGGAATCACTTGGGCCTAGGAGGTCGAAGCTGCAGCGAGCCGTGATTGCACCACTCGACTCTAGTCTGGCTGGCAGGGTGAGACCTTGTCTCAAAAACAACATAAGTAAATTTAAAACGATGAAGTGGCCAGGTGCGGTGGCTCATGCCTATAATCCCAGCACCTTGCGAGGTCTAGATGGGAGGATCACTTGAGCTCAGGAGTTCAAGACCAGCCTGGTCAACATGGTGAAACCCTATCTCTACTAAAAATACAAAAAATTACCAGGGTGTGGTGGCTTGTGCCTGTAGTCTCAGCTACTTGGGAGGCTGAGGCAGGAGAATTGCTTGAACCTGGGAGGCAGAGGTTGCAGTGAGCCTAGATTGTGCCGCTGCACTCCAGCCTGGGTGACAGAGCAAGACTCTGTCTCAAAAACAAACAAACAAAGTAGTGATACATGCTACAACATGGATGAACCTTAAAAACATAATGCTAAATGAAAGAAGAAGTTACAAAAGAACGCATCCTGTATGATTCAATTTATAAAAAATGTCCAGAACAGGTGTATCTATAGTGACTAAAAGCGATTACTGGTTTCCCAGGGCTGGGATTGGTGGGGGAAACGAGGAGTGGCTGCTGCTAATGGGTATGAGGGTTTCTTTTTGGGGTGATGAAAATGTTCTAACATTGATCATGGTGATGGTTGCACAATTCTGTGATACACTAAAAATCATTTAATTGTACGCTTTGAGTGAATGGTATGGCATGTGAATTATAGCTCAATAAAATTGCTATTGAAAAAGGAGGATGCGAACAAACTGGATCTCAGAATGAAAACAGGCTGTGAAACCACATCCCAGGCAGAAAAGCTGAAGAAGGCAGGAATACAACAGAAAGGCTCCTGGGGAGAAGCCACCTACAGATACGCGAAGGGCTGTCAACTCTACCCCTCTGTCTGGACTGCACATTCCCCATCCCCATACATACCAAATAACTCCTATGCACCTTCACAGTTCAGCTTTCCCGTCACCTCCCAGGGAAGCCTCCGTGCCTCCCTCCACCTTCATCTCTGCCGTCCACCTTCATCGCATCGCGTTCCTTGCCTTCATCTCACTTCCATCTGTCGTGACATATTTATTTAATTATTGGATGACAGTCTGAGAACCTTGATAAATTACCAGCTCCATCAAGGGAGTCATTGGTTTTCACTCACCAGAACTTATCAATGTGCCCGGCAGATAGAAAGTGCTTAATAAGTATTTCTTGAATGAATGAATGAATGAATGAATGAATGAATGAATGAATGAAACGTAAAAGCCAGAAACTACAAGCAGATCCTCTAAGAAACAAGCTTCTGAGAGTCTGAGCCATCTACAGATGCGTGAGTGTCACTGTCCCTGCCTGCATGGGAACTGATGGACGACACGGGTGTCACAGAAGTACCAAAGGGAAGGGCAAATGGGGTTGTTTTTCCTTCTGTTTTAAAATCTCACAAACAGTTCACATACACTGGAAAAATCCTAAAAAACAGATAAATAATCAAATCAAATCACCCATAATTTCTCTACCGTGTGATATCCCCAGTTAATGTGTAGCCTTCTGGAGTTGTGCTATGTAGCATTTCCTCATATGGACAAGCAATACTTGAATGAATGGGGAACTACGTGGCTCTTTGTATGTCTCACAGCCTTTAATCATAACTCACACTTCTTGGATGCTTAATCTGTGCCAGGCACCATGTTAAACACTTGACATGCATTTGATTCTCCTAAAACCCAGTGAGGTGGATACTCAGTAATTCACATTTCATATTACACCATACCCAGAAACTGGGTGTTACAGGAATCACGTCATTTGCTCGAGGTCATAGACTAGTAGGTGGCAAGCCAGATTCAGATCCCAGCAATCTGACTCCAGAAGCCAGCAGGGGTTCCGCAGATGTTGGCTGAATGAATCACTGAATGAATGAATGTGTGCTCAGCCACCCACACTAGGGAAAAACTGAGCTGCGCTTAACCAGTTAGTTGGTTGTTGTCTTTCAAATGCTCTAGAACATCATTAATACCTTCAGGGGTCACAATATCCTAAGGCTAAAAAAGGGACATCTTGACAACATAAGGAGCTTTCTTTGGTTCCAACTTCCCCCATCACTGGAGAGATCTTCCTCAAGGGGGAGCCTCAAGCACCTCCTGGGATAAGGCTCTCCAAGGTCTCCCGTGTCCAAGCTTCTGTCATCCATGGAGTCATCTGCAGGGCTCGCCCTTGCTGGCAGAGCCCCTGCTGGGCCACTCCCGGCCACTGCCTCCACACCGACTGCAGCCGATTGGCCCCTGCAGCCACTGTGATGCTGCCGCATCCACTTTGGAGGTGCTGGTGCTACCTCTCCTGCTGGTACAGACACTGCCAGTGCTGGTGCCACCACCACCACATGAGTGTCACCAACACTGCCAGCGCTGGGCTCACCGCCACTGCCATGTCACTGGAGCCACCAACTCACAACACTGCAGGGCCAGCGCAGTGGCGGGGAGGAGTGAAGCTCTGGATGTTGTTTGCTCAAGTCGCACTCAGTTTGAAGGCATTTGTAGGACAAACTGGGTGACAAGACATCATGAAGTGCTCCGAACTGCCCCTCTTCTCCAAATAAAGCTTCATGCTGGACTATCTGGGGATGTCCAAGGGAGAGAGGACTTAGTGCCTCAGGTAAACAGATTCCCGGAAAGCCCCACTCATGTTCCCAAGACATCTCTCAGTTCTCTGCGGTGGACGGTGCAAGCCAAATTGTGAGCTGCTTTCCGCCCCACCCTTCTGCTGCATATAGATACGAACAATTGTGTTCCTTCGTTCTGCTGCTGGGAAGCTGATAGGCATTTGTAAATTAACATTCAGTAAGACCTCGTGGTATGCATTTGTGATCCAACCTGACCCCTGACTTTGCCCTAGTTTCTTTTCGGTCCTGTTTCTCAAATGTATTGTTCTTATTATGTTGTTATACCTATGCCTGAAAGTCGCTTTTGAAATAAGACAGGCATTTATAAAATAAAAGGAAGAGCTGGAATAAGAACTTACGGATACATACTTTAAAAAGTTCATTTCCAAATGTGGTATGTTTCATTAGCAGTTTTTCTCTGCGGACTTCAAACAAGCAGGAAATCTTCACCAAATGACTTGGCAGTTCCAGGTGAAAAACAGAACTCTCAAAGAGTGTTACTGCATGTGAATTACAGAATGACTGTTCACCTCCTGGCCTGTGGTAGACAGGCAGGAAGGACATGGCTGCGAGGCATGGCCCTGGCAAAGCTGGCATTCAGGACCCACAACCCTTCCTACCTCTCCATCTCCTTCAGCCGAGACTCCTTTTTTAAAGGGCACCCAGCTTCCTGCACTGTCCCGGGTGGGTCATAACAGACGAAGTCATGTTAAGATTTAAAGCTGTAACTCGATGCATGCTTCACGGTTAGGGGCCTTGCAGAACCCCAAAGGCAGGATCACCTATGTAATTTGCTGGGCCCAGCATAAAACAAAAATACAGGACCCCTCGTTCAAGGTATTAAGAATTTCAAGATGGTGACAGTGAAGCATTAAACCACATGCAGGGCCTTGTGTGACTGCACAGGTCACAAGTCCGAGCCGGTCCTGCATCAAGGACACACAAAGGCACACTTTAGAACATTACTTTTATATACACAACCACAAATTCTGGTTTTTACGGAAGAACAATAAATAGTTGCAAATATTTAAAAACAACAGAAAATGTCAAGGACCTTCCATTCTGGCAGAAACACTAGTTGCCTCAGCTCTGGGATTTGTATCACTTTGGTGCGAAAGTGTGAGAAACAACATCTTAATTTTTACCATGTTTCCATCCAAGCCTCCACATGCTGTCAGAGTGTTGCATTTTTAAGAGAGAAGTTTGGAAGGGGTGATCAGATTGCATATGCCAGGTATCGATTGGCTGTGTCCCCACAGCCCAAATCTGTGTCCCCAAATCTCACCTTGAATTGTAATAATCCCCACGTGTCAAGGGCGGGGCCAGGTAGAGATAATTGAATCATGGGGGTGGTTCCCCCATACTGTTCCCATGGTAGTGAGTAAGTCTCATGAGATATGATGGTTTTATAAATGGGAGTTCCCCCGCACAAGCTCTCTTTCCTGCCGCCATGTAAAAAGTCCCTTTGCTCTTCCTTCATCTTCCACCATGATTGTGAGGCCCCCCCAGCCATGTGGAAGTGTGAGTCCATTAAACCTCTTTCCTTTATAAATTACCCAGTCTCCTGTATGTCTTTATTAGCAGCACGAGAACAGACCAACGGATACCACAGCAAAGCAGGAAGGGGTAAGACAGCCATGGGCATAAGAGGTTCTCAAAGGATGGGCAGGATTTGGCAAGGCCAAGAGGAAGGGTTCCGGAAAGGGGAGCCAAGGCGCAGAGAGAGGAGCAAGGAGCAGAACCGGTGAGGGGGCAGGAAAAGGGTCACCCACCAGGCCAGGTGGGGCGGGCTCACCTATGGTCACTGAGTTACTTCAGAAAAATACATAAGAACCCTTTTAAAGTTCTAGAATCCGATTTTAAAACAGATTTTATATTCATATAGGGCAAAATAAATGTGACTCACTCAATGTCAAATGGGCACTTGTATATAAATGGCACATGAACTTTTTCCCTCTACAAGCAACAGCATCAGAATAGAATCCAAAGGGTACGCAGGAGGACTGACAGCTTGAATTCTCTTAGTGAACCGTCATCCAGCTCTCCAAATCTCGTGGCTGCCTCTGAGCTCCAGCAGAGCCTTTTGGGTTTGTGCTGAGGCCATTCTCAGTGTAGGGTCATTAGTCAGTCTTACCCTAAACACACTGCCCAGCACATTCCGGGAGGGCGTTATGGGCACTGGTGGGCACTCCTGGCAAAGAACAAAACTCATGTTCACCACCATTAACAAGCTCAGCCTGCAGGGACTGAATGATGAGGAATCACACAAGAACAAAATAGGACTTGTCATCTTCCTACCTGAGACAACACACATGGAAAAACTCAAGAACACTATTCTAGCTATTCTAGCCAGGCATCCTCCTCCTCTAATGGGCTTTCTTTTTTTTTTTTTTTTTTTTTGAGACGGACTCTTGCTCTGTCGCCCAGGCTGGAGTGCAGTGACACGATCTTGGTTCACCACAACCTCCACCTCCCCAGTTTACGCCATTCTCCTGCCTCAGCCTCCCGAGTAGCTGGGACTATAGGCGCCCGTCATCTCGCCCAGCTAGTTTTTTGTATTTTTTAGTAGAGATAGGGTTTCACTGGGTTAGCCAGGATGGTCTCGATCTCCTGACCTCGTGATCCGCCCGTCTCGGCCTCCCAAAGTGCTGGGATTACAGGCTTGAGCCACCGCGCCCGGCCTCTAATGGGCTTTCTGACTTAAATGTACCATGACACACACCATGGCAGAACTTTAAGAGCTTAGAGGTTTGTCTTTAGAAACATATAGGCCAAGATACATGCTATCATCTACTTTACAGGAATATAGATTAACAGAGAATTTAAAGCCAGAGAAACCAATTAACACACGTATATTCCTCCAGACTGCAACTGATTCTTTCTCTGCCTGCCTCTCTTGCCATCTTTATATAGAAAATGTTAATTTATGCACATATATACATATTATGTTAATTTGTGTGCATAGATATATGTGTATGTATATGTTACATATGTATATATGGGCTGGTTGTGGTGGCTCACATCTGTAATCCCACCACTTTGGGAGCGAAGGTGGGTGGATTACTCGAGCCTAGGAGTTTGAGAACCAGGCAACATGGTGAAACCCCATCTCTACAAAAAATACAAAAATTAGCCAGGCGTGGTGGTGCATGCCTGTAGTCCTAGCTACTTGGGAGGCTGAGCTGGGAGGACCCCTTGAGCCCGGGAGGTCAAGGCTGTAGTAAACCGTGATCACACCACTGCACTCCAACATGGGGGACAGAGCAAGACCCTATCTCAAAAACAAAATGCATATATGTACATATATAAAATATATATAAAAACCTATTAAACATGTATATAAGTATATGCATATACATAAAGAGCAAGAGGGCCGGGGAGAGGATATGTGCATATATACATATATATTCATATATACTACAGTACAATTCAATTCCATCTTATTAAACCCAGTCAGCACTTAAAGAGTCTCTGCCATGTGCTGGCCCAAGGATAAGCACTAGAACACAAAGTTATGAGTGTCACCAACCTCAAGGAGCTCACCATCTAGAGAAGACACACTGAAAACTGAAATGCCCCTCCTATCACCATGGTGGCTATTTATAATGGAAGGTAGTTGGTTTGGTGGTTCTGTATTCATGGCGGCCAATAATGTGGGTTGAGTCATGCTGGCTGGGTTCAGGACCCAGCTTCACCACTTTGAAACTGTATGACATCCAACGTGCCACTTGAGCTGCAGGGTCCTTATTGGCAAAATAAATACAGTCATGCACTGCACGATGACATTTTGGTCAACGACAGACCACATATATGACTGTGGTCCCATAAGATTATAATATTGTATCTTTACTGTACCTTTTCCATGTTTAGATATACAAGTACTTGCCACTGTGTTACAACTGCCTACAGCTTCAGTATAGTAACATGCTGTACAGGTCTGTAGCTTAGAAGCAGCAGGCTATCCCGCATATAATAGCTTAGGTGTGTGGTAGGCTATACCATCTAGGTTTGTGGAAGTACACTCTCTGATGTTCACACAATGATGAAATTGTTTAATAATGAATTTCTCGGAACATATCCCTGTCATTAAAGCAATGCACGACTGTATCTATAATAATGGCCTCTTCATAGGGTGGCAGGACTTAAATGATTTAACAAGTGAAAGCAATTACACTTACTGGAACCAAAAGGCACTCAATGAAAGGAAACCATCATTTTTAGCAGCATTGTTGTTATTGACAGGAACATCAAGTTCGACAGTGGGGGGCACACAAGAGAAAAAGGTCACTCTAACTTGGGAGGTGTCAGGAGAAGTTTGTGGAGGTGGTGACATGGAGTTGAATCTTTCCTAATAGCATGTGTTTGGCAGGGGAACAAAAGGAAGAAGAGGCATTCATTCCAAGGATAAGAAAGGTTTATTCAAAGGCCCTGTGGCCTGAAACACCCTACCATGTCCGGAGGACGGTCAGCAGATCAGCACAACCAGAGTGAGGGTTCAAGGTCAAAGAGAAGCCAGAGCCAGATCTCGAAAGGCCACCAAAAAGCCCTTAACAATGGAGTAACAAAATCAAATTATCCTTTGAGAAGGGTTAGGCTATATTCAACTGAACATAATTTCACCTTTCCAGGGTCACCATCACGATAATCAGCTATCACGAATACTAATGGAGTACATCAATGCCACAAAATAGAAAACCTGTAATTCACGTGTCCTTTCCTCTGTTCACAAGTCTTCAAAAGGTTTTTTGTTTTATCGACTAATTGGCTTATTTTTCCAAAATGATTTCGTTGCTGAGGAAGGTTTTCTTTACCACTAATCTCCTCCAGAATGATTTTAAAATACTCATCTTACTAACCGCAAGGAAAATCTTAAGTGGTCACTTCTTAGCACTCAAAAAGGCTGCATGACAACGGTTCACCCTCAAAGTGCTCAAACATCCATCGCAGCTGTGCGGATCAGGCCTCCGAGTTAGAGGTGAGTGTGGGAGGCATGGACAAGACAGGCGTCAGAACCGGAAATAGAAGAGAAATGAGAGCTCAGAATAAAACCAGTGTGAGTAAACAACAGTGTACAGGAGTAGCAAGAAAGACAAAGGAGTCACCAAAGAGGAAAAAGAACGTGTGATACGGTCTGAAAGGGACAGACAAAACAGGATAGGACAAAAATGCAAAGGGTTTTTTTTTTTTTTTTTTTGAGACAGAGTCTCGCTCGGTTGCTAGGCTGGAGTGCAGTGACACGATCTTGGTTCACCACAACCTCCACCTCCCCAGTTCAAGCAACTCTCCTGCCTCAGCCTCCCGACTAGCTGGGACTACAGGCATGTGCCACCACACCCAGCTAATCTTTGTATTTTTAGTACAGACGAGGTTTCACCATGTTGGCCAGGATGGTCTCGATCTCTTGACCTCGTGATCCGCCCACCTCAGCCTCCCAAAGTGCTGGGATTACAGGTGTGAGCCACCGCGCCCAGCTGCAAAGGGTCTTTTCAGGGAAGTCAGTGGCAGAAGAGGTCTGAGAAAGTTTGGGACAGTCAACTAAACAGTTTTGAATACCTCTAGATCAATTTGCTCATTCACCATTCAGGAGGTCAGCCTATTGGTCAATTCTATTAATTCTTTTTCAAATATGTCCTGTGCACCTTCCATGCAAGGTGCTGAAGATTCAGAGCTGAATGAGTGTCCAGTCTCTGTCTTCACTCAGTAGCTCACCTGCTATCAGGCCGAAAAAATAGCTTGGCATGCATGGACTCCAACTTTCAAGAACTCAAGACAGCAGGGAGAGAATTCACTGCCACTGGCCACCTGATATATGCCAGGTATTGTCCTAGGTGTGCTCATTTACGCCGTCTTACTTACTCTAACCTTCCTTTGATAAAATCAACAGGCATCAACAATCTGTTTTGCTGGCCCCCATTTTCACCGTTCCATATTAGAGAAAACAGAGGCAGCGGTTGGGAAAGAGGTCACGGAAAGGAAGCTGAAAAACCAAAGTTTCAGATGCCCTTTGTTTTAGACACCCCTCATTTCCAGAACTAAAGTGAGGTTTTAGACACCCCTTATTTCCAGACCTAAGGATTGGGTCTGAGATTTTCATAAAACAGACATGGCTTTTCCCTGTTCACTTTTTCCCTTTAGTTTAACACAACATTGGCCGCAAATGCCCATGGATTAATTCTGTCATTCCTTGGCTAACAGGCCCATAACACGTTCCATCTGTTCACGTGCGTTTGTGTGTGCTCAAGTGCTGGTGCGTCCAATTCAGACACAACTAGGGAGTACCGTCATCCCTGCAGGAACTGCCAGTTCGTCAGATCCAAATCCTGGACACAGATGTCATTGCCATAGGACTGCTTCTTTGTGTGGTAGCTGCTGCAGTCTGGGGGAGCTGAGAATTAATGGTATTTTGCTTAAGTCGTTAAAAACAAAACAAAACAAAACAACAAGATAATCATGTCAACCCATAACGTGGAACTACAATTTAGCAAGCATTTTATGGTCAACGGAGAAGCTCAAAGAACGTGATAGAAAGAGTTAAGGCAAGCATGAAAAAGAGCAAAATCTCAACCAATCACTCTTTGTTTCTCAGACAATAATTTTTCTCCTGAAAAACCAATTCAGATCAATAAATTTATTTATTGAGGACCTACTATGTGACAGGTACTGTCGATCCCACTGAATACTACAGAATTTGTTTTCACTACAGTCTTTTATTCTTTCCAATATTTAAAGCATTGATCGGGATGCTTTCATGGTTTTCTCCTTAAGCAATTTTATTATTATGTCTTCAGAAGTGTAACACTTTCAGGACTACGTAGTTTTCTGCATTTTTGTTCATTTTTGTTTTGTTTTGTTTTGTTTTGTTCTTACTGTTGTTTTTCACCTAAAGCATTCCCTTTCTTTCCCTACTCTCTGATTTTTATGGAGGAAAAAAAGTCTAGCATCTGGGGTCTGAGACCACTTGAAACGTCTGGGCTGGGGATTGCTAATGGCCTCCCAGAGATAACCCAAATTGCTGATTTAGCGAAGCCCATTCTTGACCTTGACACAAGACAAGACAGGCAAAGGGGAAGGACTTGGGAGGCCGCAGTAAAAGAAAAAGGATCATAGAAGCGCTCAGATCTCGCCAGGCCCCTCCCCCATTCAGCAAACACCTGGCTGAGTTGGAAAACATGACCAGCCCAACCTTCCTATTGGCTGCAATTGAAGCTGTCAGTTCTCGGCTTGTCACCGGTTGCACTGGGAGGCCCCAGGCAGCCACAAGAGCCCTAATTAGGCAGAAATGACACTTCTACAACTGACCTGCCAGGACCTTTGGCAAACCATTTAACATCATTAGTTAACATGTTTTAAAAGTGTGAATGTAAATGAACAGCCAGTGGCTTTCAATGGAGTTTGTCGGTGGCATCTCCCCCTCCCTTTCTCAGTCTTTCTCTTTTTACATGAATAGTCCACTTGTTTTCTCCAGAATTGGAGGGAGGCACCGAAGAAGAAGGAGGAAGAGGACCAGTCCTCTGAGAGGAGAGACATGTTAAGGCAAAAACAAGCCCAGAAGAGCGAGAGGCCATCTCTTCCTGCCTTTGTATGGGCCCTCACAGAGCCAATCTCCCAGGGCCACCAGAGCAAGGCAGGAAGATAGCAGGAGGCCGGCAGGCTAGACGGATGCTAGGTGCATGATCTGTGCGTGTGAGTGTGGCCAGTGATGATTCTAGGCTTTGGATAGGTGGGAAACGAATTTGTTTTCTGACTCAAGGGTGCCTCTGAAATTCTCTCAAACCTCTTCCCACTTCCCGGTGTTCTGAACAAGCAGGTTTTGCAGCAGTGGTTTGGCAAACATCTTACATGTGCAGAAGTTTCAACGTCCCAGTTTTAAACGTACCTAGTCCCTCTCGAGAGGAATGAGGTCTGGGGTAGTTATTTCAGAGGCCAGTTTGATACTTACACACATTAGTTCATTTCCTACCTGAAGCGGCTATTTCCCACCTTGAATCACACTTCATTTTGTTCTTTGCTTTACACCCACAGAATCCGTACACGCCAACACTCTCCATCTGTAGGAGGGGGGAAAGAGTTGCACTGTGAAAATGTCGCTTTGTTTCCATGTCG